CCTTAGTTTATTACAAAAATAATTGAACAATAATCGTGTAACCCGACTACCAACGTTTAACATTGTTACGCGTTTGACTATAAAAACAACGCATTCAAATGTAAATAGCCAATTACGTTGGATCAAATCTCATTGCATGAATAACACTTTCCTAGATTCCATCGTTAGCAGGTAAACATATATATATTAGTAATTTTAAGTAAATTACATAAAACCGACCTCAAAAGTACGTGGAATTACATATAATTTTACCAAGTTTTATTGAAATCGGTTACGGGAAAGTGCGCAAACCCGGATTCATCCCCTAGTTCGCCTCTATACGGGACTTGACACAGAAGATAGTAAAAATCGGTTCTTAATACTCAAAGTATATTGAGAGAGAAAAACACCTTGAATTGGAGAATAGCAAAATTAACCATTAAAATTATAATAAAATTTGGGCGCTATTTATAAAAATGAGTCTTCATGCGTAAACAGCCACGCTTAGAGGTGGATGATTTTCTACAAAATTAAATGGGACCACTATGGAGGTACCCTCTTTCCAACAAAACAAAAATCATGAAAATCGGATCACAAATGCCGTTGATGTTGAAATGAAATGAGTTATTGCGTAAGTTAAATACAAAAAAAAAACATACAGTGAAATCCTCCTCCTTTTTTAGAAGTCGCTTAAAAATATACAATAGAACGGATATCGCTTTTTTTCTGAAATTACTCAACTATAATTGTTATATTCAAATAAGAAGGTTTCTTTTTTTTATAATACCAAGTGACGGGACTGATGGTAAGATACACGCCTGTCCATAACAGTTGCAGTACCACTCAGAGCTTTAAATCGCAAAGATCTTATGACCCCTGTGATCTTATGTCACCCTGAGACATAAGTTGGCAATGACAAGTCCCATGTGCCTGTAATATCACCAGCACCCTTATACCCTATAATATTCTAAACTGGAACTCAGTAATGCTCACATTACTGCTTGGCGGCAGAAATAGGTAAAGCACTTCCCTGGACGATTTCTTTCACAGGGAGTTCTTCTGCTACTAAACAATATGTCTGTTCGTAAAGCTATCATTTGACGCTGGCCAGTCAACCCGTGATCACGGAGTGTGTAACCGTTCCGAACTAAAAAGAACTCATATCGTATAAGAAACCTGTATTATTATTATATTATTATATATATGATAAATCATTTAGTGAATAGACACTAATGCCTCACGCACGCACGCACGCACGCCTGAAAGCCCGCCCGCCGGCCCGCCCAAAAGCCACGCCCGCACGCACGCATTCACGCACTCACGCACGCACGCACGCACGCACGGACGCACGCACGCACGCACGCACTCACGCACACACACATATGTATATATAGGTATATAATATATACATTACATATATAGTTTGTCGAAAAAATTCTGTAAAAGTACCGGCTCAGTGAGACGTTTCATGTATTTCTCACATAGGTGTCACTCACGGTGATAAAAGCCGAAAAAACCCAATACAAAAATCTGTAATAAACCCTTCAACTTTGGAGAAATTCGTAAGGTCTACTGATTTTATCTATAGGTCAGTTGTAGAGCGGTGGCGCTAGTTTGGCATAAAGACGCAGGTTCCATATTAATAATTATATTATATATTAATAAATATATATAATACATATATTAATAATTCTAATCGATTATCTACTTTACTATCTTATGAAATGACAATTAGCAAAATTCTTGATCGTCATATAAAATACAGTCAAATGAGCGTTTCGTAGCATCCACTCAAATTGCACAATATACGAACTGAATTCAGGCCAACAAATATGCTCAACATTGTCGATCGTTGTTCGAGGGATTACCCAACTTGCCATTATTCGAAAAATCGTGACCGCCATCTTGGATTTGAGCACCCCAAAATACCTCCAAACCGATACCCAACTTGCCATTATTTGAGAAATCGTTCCCGCCATCTTGCATTTAGAAATGCGAAAAGTCGTGTCCCGCCATCATGTATTCAGATGTAAATGTAATTTCCATAAGGATTACCAAAAATATTTTTTTGAAAATTCGTGATAACCATCTTAAATTTAGAAATTAATGCCACATTCTCAATTAGCACTCCCAAACAACTCGAAAACGTCTATAATTCTCGTTGTCGATCGACAATGTCGAGTATATCTGTAGGCACCTTTACTCGTATCTGTAGGCACCTTTATTCGGCCGTTTCTCTACCAATATACATGAAATTTGAAACTTGCATGAAAGTACAAATCCTACAGGTCGTAACGAAGCCAAATTTTGAATTTCGAGATAACTGAGTATTTGAGAAAAATATTCAATTGTGAATTTTGTACGCGCAAATGTGAAAATAAAAATAAGAGCGATTGGTGTGCTTCGGTCGGAAATTTCAAACTCGTTTAATGTTGTACGTATATCTGATCACTTTTCAGATATTATGTCTGTATGCTGTTCAATCATTACGTAAAGAAGACAACAAATAAAGTATAAATTATTTTATTTTATATTCACCGCGATCTTACCCTCATTCTTATATATTTAAAATATATTAATTTTCGATCCCTCGTACGTAAAGAATCATAAGCCCAAATTCACAACTTTACATGGGAACGTTTCAATGTAGCGAAAGGACTAAAATGAGCATACCTTCGATTCTCGAGGTACTGTAATTAAATTTGAAACATACTCATTATTTTTCATTCGACTAACATAAAAAGAAACTGATGTATGAAAAAACGTACCTATTTTTGTGGTTTACGATGGATTATTTAGGAGTAGCCGTAAGAGTTTAACATTATGAATCACAAGGTGATATCGTCATGAGATGACGCCAAGGAGCAAGTACCGTATCACGATGTGTTAGTATTCATTCATCTCTAATACAGCACCTAGTGTGTGTATGACACACCTCCGGAGATAGCGTTACTAAAAAAACATGGCCTTCACGCACATCACTCTAAATTCTCTACTCGCGTAAACAGTTACCCAATAACGGTGACGTTCTATCTAAATAAGATTTTTATTTACTAAAGACGCATGTTTAGACCGTTCTTCATATTTACAATGAGAAAAAACGGAACTTTTTAATATCTTGATACCTCCCTTACAACGCAATTTATTGTAATAACAGAGATAATAATGACAAATTATCGCCTTTGTTTTATCAACAGTAAAGTTGAAAGAGCCGATGATATCGAATGCAGGCATTGAATAAAAGCGTTACGCATATCTTGATAAAATGCAAGATCTCGACTAATAGGCTTTTGTAATGTAGAGATCTTATCAAAACACTTGTGATGTGAAGTAGTATGAAAGTAATAACAATGTTATAAAATTATACACACTTCGCAATAGAGGATCTTAAAATCCGTTGTCAGGGGTGTAATAATAAAATAATTGAACCAAGCAACACACTAGTATATACAATTAATGCATGACTTGGGATGCATGAATGCACCCAATAATGTACCAAAAAATATGTACCCTGGGCAGCAGTCAGCATTATAACGTATGCCATCGATACGATAAGAAGAAGAATGCATGACCAAACATATTTATATGCATATGTCAAGCAATACATCATTGATATTCTACAAATATTTGAATCATACTACGCATGTTCCATGTACTTTGGTAGGACTTACTTAGTAACAAAAGTTGCATGTGTAACGGACGGTTCTTGACAGCAGGTTTTTTGTTCAGTTATTACTACTAAAATTCTCTAATACCTAACTAACTTTGCTTTCTACAATTGCATTGTACACTTGTACAAATGAAGAAAATAAATATATGTGTGTTTATAAAGCAACATCGGTATGAATACAACTATCAAGTGATTGGGTGTTTACATACTAAATATTACCAATATGTCATATACAATCTACCGAAATACTTTAAGCTTGAAGTAGGTAGCGTATAGTACTATTGAAATTAGAATTTGACAAACTTTTGTCTTGACATGATAATTTTGTAAAGTAGGTACTATATAAGTAATATTACAAAGAACAATTGGAAAGAAAAAAAAATTCTTTGTGAAAAACAAATTAATGACTAATAATAATTACATTCCATAGCAGGACTAACGCAGGAATGAATCGATATATTTGTAAAATATGCAGCTGTACATTAAATTTGTTCTCCCATTGATAAAGCAGTAATAGCCAGTTATATTTCAAATTAAGTATAACATTAAACAAAAACAAAACATTACCTATTACAGAGTTTATATTTCATAGATAACGTCACTTACAAACGAGATAATATTTTACAGATTTACCCGTTTTGGAATTTGGCATTTACCGTAACTATCGTTATTATTGAAATACTTAACGCATCGCCATAATCATGAACATTTTATGTCTTTAAGACCCGGAAATTCTTACGTTTGCGTAGATTATAGAGCTCAACTTCGTCTCCGTTTTATTATCTTGAATTTGTCAAAACAATAAAAATACTTACATGTTTTTACAAACCATTTAAAATTTATGTTTCACATTACAAGTTACCTATTTGTCAAAGCATTCAGAACAATACGAGATATATTTCAAAATGAACATACCCATCATATTTAAATATCGTGAGTCTCTCATCATAGTCATATAATATTTAAGTTAGGATAACAACGCTACATGTGTTTGCATTAACTTACTTATCAGTTAACAAGTTTATGTTAATAGAGAGAATACGCACATAGTGTGTACGTTAGAAGTCCATAATTATCACTTAACATTATTTCATTATAGTAAGCGCATTAAATTACCAAACGGATGTGTAAGTGTATTAAGCAAACGGAGAGTTGAGTTTATGCCCAATAATCTCTCAAGCAACTTATTCCGTTGATTATAACGATTGTAACATAAAACTGGTACTTTATGTTATTAGCCAATGTATTGTACCTATTCGGCATTCAAAATATTTGCTATTTCAGATATCCCGTATTACTTCATTTGATTGCGGTAACTTAAAGATTGGTTCTAGAAATATTCCAAGAGCCCCGGCGAGGAAAAGTAAGCATTGACACAGCGGTACACGAAAGCTCGTATAATTAACTTAAACCTAGATACCTGCGAAGCCTATATGACGACTCGTTATGCATCGCCACACGATCGCATTTCCCAAACCGCAACACCGAGCTCTCATTACTTAACCAGACTATTTAACTTCACCTACTTCAATTTTGCCGAATCGAAAAATCAAGTTTTAACTGTAAATTTCAGCCTGCCATATGTTAAATTTATAATTCCAATAAGACTCACCGAGTTTCCCCATCATTTCCTCCAATGCTTTTTCCTTGTCCATGGCTATATATTCTTATGAAGTGGATTTCAAACGATTTTCGAAGTTCTGGAAAATTTGCCACAACCACCATTGATGGTAAAGTCAGGAGATGGTACGCGCTATGCCGAGGCAAGTAGCATGCGCCAGGCGTGAATGCCGGCGAACGAGCGAATGGCTATATCGTCGTGGCGCCGACATCGTGGCGGACGACTGCCGCAATCGCGCGAAAAAAAACACACCTTATCTTCATAACTTCATACCTATGGTCTCCATGATCAACGATGTTGCCCGTAAGATAGTCTGTACACGAGCCGCTACGGTCGATAGATAGGTGCGTGTCAGCTGATAACGAGTTAACTGCAAGACCTTTGCAGCTCACATCGCGTCGTACCAGCTTTGATATCCGTTCAAATTATACGGTCACAAAAGCTCAGCCCTATCAATGACTCTTATCGGACTTATCGGAGATACATTGGTCACGTGAACGCTTATAATTATTTCCTTTGGTACATTCCGATATAAGTTTTTTATAATTTTATATACATATAATAAATAGGACATTAACGCTTACTAACAATTTTAACATTCGGTCACGTTGCAATCCGTAAAAACAGAGCCAACGGCCTCTGTGACCGTGAGCATCTGCATACATTCCAATATAACATAATATTATGCCTTTTTGCTGATATACCTACGATGTAACTTTTGATTTTATAAATAGGTCACAAACGTTTACTAAATTGAAAAAAAAAGGAAAAAATAGATTGAACAGGTATTTGCACACCTACGTATTATTCCAATGTTACGGCCAGGTTGCCACGTAATCACGTTAAACAGACCTTGATCTTCAGAAGGAGCAAGAGCTAGATCATGTTCTGGAGATACTTAGAAAAAACAGATACCATGTCGTCCGGTTAACGACGCATAGAGCCAAAATGAGATGCAAACGTCCGGGCAGAGCTTAGTATTCTACAATGCCTATATTTTAAATTATATAATTTTGAACTGCCTCCGTGGCCGAACGGATACCATGCCGGACTGCCACTCAGAGGTCCGAGTTGTATGGTCTACATTTATTTCTGTAGTGACTTTGGGTGTAATTTGTGGTTGTCATGTGTGTGTCCATGGCACCTACGACACATGGTTTCCTTAGTGCGGGGCTGTGTTGAATGTGTGCGTTATTTTTATTATATTATTATTAGTAAAGTTATAATGCCCTTTGATCTGCATAAAACATTACAATCTCATATCACGTGATCGCTGCTGGCGACTAGGTTCACAACGCATTTATTCAAATTAATTAAAGGTCGTGATTATTTGCAACACACTATCTATAGTCACTAAACCTAAATTATTGACCAACCAGCGCTACTAATTGAGACATTACGCGGGGCCAATGTCCGATATCACTTAACTAAGATATTGTCCATAATTGCACCACAATTAACTACCATATCAATGCGCATATGAATTGATTTTGCTTGTAAATGTGGAAAATTACATACAATAATAAACACTTCTAATATTACTCCATTTCTATATTATTATTAGTATATGTAAAGGCGGTTGATCGACACAGGCATTAAGTGTAAAATCAAACAGCTATAAATTATTCGATTGGCTTAGAAATCATAATTATAATTATAATAATTATAATAACGCACACACTCAACATAGCCCCGCACTAGGGAAACCTTGTGTCGCGGGTGCCATGGACACACACATAGACAACCACAAATTACACCCAAACTCACGAGAGAAATAAATGTAGGCCATACAATTATTTCTCCCGGCCCGGGAATCGAACCTGTGACCTCTGCGTGGCAGTCCGGCATGGTAACCGTTTGGCCACAGAGGCAGTTGATAATGTTTTATATTGTGTGCACCTACTCTGGAAGTATATAGAGTAGTGTCTGCGTAAGTGTATAGAGTACGAGCATATCGTTAGTGATATTTTTAAATTGGTAGTATTTCCGACATACATTGGTGACTATACTATACTGACGCATAAATCTCTTATTTGGACTTTCCAAACAAAAGTTAAAAAATAATAAACCACAGAGTTAAAATTAGTTAGAGTACAGTATTTATTATCCTACAATTTTTTTTAAATAAGATCAAGTTGTGCGCCTGATGGTAAGCGCATGTAGCGTGTAGCGTGTCCATAATAGTTGCAGTGCCACTCAGAGCTTCAAATCGCAAAGACCTGATGGGCACTGCCACTGCGCCCGTCACCCTGAGACATAAGTTGACAAGTCCCATGTGCCTGTAATTTCACCAGCACCCTTACCCTTCAAAACCGGAACACAGTAATGCTAACATTACTGCTTGGCGGCAGAAATAGGTAAGTAACAACTACCTGTGGAGTAACAATTACTTGTGGAGTAGTTCAAACTTAATTGGTGTAAACTTTATAGTTTACACACTTTAACTTATGTTAACGTCACTTACTTCCATGATTTAAAAAAATATTCCGCGAACATTTTAGTTAATTGCATGATTAATTTAAATAAATAATTTCTGTACTAAAATTGTAACTGATTTACATTAACCTTATTCAGTTTCGGTATTAGAAAGTTTTTATGTCACTACACCTACTGCTTAATTGGTATGTAAATATATTCTGTCGAAGTTGTTCCGTCTACATGTTACAGAAAAACATATTACTGTCCAATATGCGGTAATTTTGACAATAATCATAAATCAGGCAGCCTTTCCAATCTAGTGAGCTTAGATCTTGTCATCATAGTGAAAAATGTTCAGTTAAGGAAACAATTAATTTTAAGATATTAGATGTCTATGTAAGTAAAGCGACAGTAAATAATAATAAATACCTAAGATAACTTTTACTCTCGGAATACACAAATTATTCCAAAAATTTCAGGTATTGTGGAAACAAAATCTAAGTAGGTAGAACTGTGTAGTCTCCTGCTCTCTATCATTTGTAAGCAGCTGTATTTAGTACATTTGCTTTCTTAATCTTAATTTTTAACAGCAATAAAGACCCTTGTAAAAGAGTTTGTCCAGAGAAGTACTGCCACCGTACATATATCTGCCGCCAAGCAGTAATATGTGAATATTATTGCGTTTCGGTTTTTTCGGAATTACAGGCACATGGAACTTGTCAACTTATATCGCAGAGTGACGGGTGCAGTGGCAGTGCCCCTCAGATCTTTGTGATTTAAAGTTCAGACTGGCACTGCAAATACTATGGATTGAATGGAATGGCGTGTCGTGCCACCAGGTGCATGATTTGTTCGTCATGTCACTTGGTATCGTAAAAAGACTATTTCGATAAATTAAGATGAAGAAAGCAAAGGCTTAAGTGGTATTTAAAAATTTAATGAAATAATTGCAAATTTAATTGCAGAATTGGAACCGTATACGAGGACGTGACCTCTGATGTGCTCGGGGAAATAGGCAATTGGCAATGGTTTGTCACGTTAGTCTCAACAGTACTTATGATGCCCAGCATCTTCAGTCACTACGAAGACGTCCACTTGCTCCATCCCTCATATGTCACCTGTTTACCTTCAGACGGACATGAGGTTAAAGAACAATTCCTCTGCACATACACCGTTGTTAACAGCACAGAGGAAATTAATTGCAATGCATGGCACGTTAAGCTTTTGTGGCTTATATGGGTTAAGAAAACTGTATGTAAAGTAATATTAACTTAGCATTCTTTACATTAATTGGCAAATGACAACTATCTCATTTACTGTTTTATTATTCAGTGGCTTGTCTTTTGCAACGATAATACAAAGCAATTGTCTACCACTATGATATGCCGATTGGGATTAATATTCGGATTTGTGATTTACGGCATAACTGCAGACAGGTGAGCGTATTGGTCTTTTTATGAAAGATCTTAAGCATTATGTTTATTAAAAACAACTACGGGAAATGTTTTTGTTTCAGCCTTGGAAGAAGAGTTGCAATTATTGTCGATGTGCTTTTAACATTTATATTAAGTCTTGTGATCGTGTTTTGCGACTCGGCGGCCTGGTTCAGACTGGTCCTCTTCTTGAAGTCCTTGTTTGGAAGCTGTACCCTCTACATGTCAATTGTTATAAGTTGGTACATATTTGTTAAGTTAGAGACACAAGAACAAAGTGGTTTCCTTAACAGATAGATACAGATCAGTCAATTGATATATCCATTCTTGGACAAGTTCCGTAGCAATTTAAGTTTGAATGATCTATTTATTATCGAGTTTTTAGGTTTTCGCAATTGCTATACATAGCAAGTGAAACTTTTTTTGATGGCTTTACCATCTCAGTCAGCCGTGACCATGAAACTTGTAAAGAGCCCGAAACGTTGGTTTGCTTGATAAAACAAATAAACGCGATTTAGATCCGAAAACAAAAACTCATTTCCTATTCATTTATTTTCTTGTGGCCTACATTATAACAACGTATAGTTATTACACATCAAGCTTTAACTTTCGATCGATCTTATTAAATTTTAATCTTCAGTGTCCACCTTGACATGCTCCTAAAAAGATTAATTTTTTTTTTGTCAACTTTAATTCTTTATTGCATTAACCATAATATTAATATTATATCCATTGTAACATTGTGGATTGTTATAGTTTCCAATTCAAAAGGATTTAATCATTAATTTTTTTCATTTATGGTATTTTTATTTTATTATTTATTGTTATCAGGGGTGCAATCAAATATTCCAAATTCAAAATATGTATATAGTATTTTGTATATGTATCAATAGACAATGAACAGGGTAAATGTATACAGTTACCATTTACTTCATGCTTGCTTGCTGTCTGTATCACAAAACACGAGATTACTGAGATCCAAAAAGTGCGACATTCGTGATTAATAATAATAACATTACGCTATCCGTTTCTCCTAATCGGATTCATTGTAGACCTAAAGCGATAACTTAATTGACGTCAAATCCAGATTAGATATTTGACGTAATACCTCGTGTTCTGGCGTGTAAAGCCAGTGTTGCGTAATATAGGTCATGGACATTTTGGCAGCATTTATTCTATGTAATTTTCAGATTATGCCACTTTTTCAACTCTAAAAAGAGATAATTGTGTATTAAAATCGATATACGTATATTTATAATTGACAAATCCTATTGTTTCGAGAATATTTGATAATAGATAACAGAGAGTAATATTAATGTGATAGATAAGTTATTGAGCGCACTTAAAGATACTTGTTATTATCACTATAATAGACTCTCGGAACCTTAATCCTAGTAATATAGTTTTAAGCTATTACAAGCTTTAAATCAACTGTAGGTAGACACTTGACTTAGTCATTTGGATATGCATACAGGACATAATTATTACTGTAACATCTTACTCGTACAACCTTATCTTTATGTTGTATATCACGATTGGACTCGAATTTTCAGTAGATTCAGTTTTGTTTTGGGGTGAAAAATATATATGTTATAGTACAATAACAACGCTTTCTGCGTTGGAAAGGGCTTGCACATGTTAATGATGTAATGTAATTTGACCTGAATTTGCGTTATCGATACAAAACGCACATTCACAAATAAAGAGACCTACCTATATTAGCCAAAAAATATGATTGTTATGACTATCCTAGACCACCTATATTTTTTAATCGTATAAAAAGCCAACAGTTTAGACTGTTGGCTAACCTGAAATTAACGAAAGCCTTAACATCTATATACTTTTAATTAGTTAAAAGTATATAGATTTTACTATATAAAAGTATATAGATTTTAAGGCTTTCATTAATTTCAGGTTTCTTACCACGGTATGACTTCTATTCCTGATATTTCGGAACGGTTGCACACTCGACTCAAGTCAACCCGTGACCATGGAATTTTTTACAGGAATGTTACGAATCAATACTACCTCAGGTTGAATTAAAATTTTTGCCGTAGTAATAAGGTTCATTTTGCTTGGGCGACAGGAACACTGGCTTTAGTTCAGTTGATATAAAAAAGTGTAAAGTACCTATTAAGTACACCGGTTTTCTTGTAAAATTTCGAGTTATGTTTAGGTTTTTTTTCTATCGTGAAAATTTTTAGGAATCGTGTTTTCATACCGTATACTAATCAGTGTGTATCCTCAATTTTACTATATACATTTTCCAAAGTGATTGATTCAACACTTTCACTGTAATGCGGAATCAACCAAAGCCATTTGAGATTGTATAAACTCTTAAGATCTAAGTCCCAGTATAGGCCAGCCTGCATCACTGATCCTTTTCGAATCATCTGCTGTATGGAATACGTACTAATTAGTATTTGAGTTTAGAGAAAAAATAATCACCACAAATATCTGTAAGGATCAAATATCTTCGAATAGTATGGTCCCCTGCTCGTATTGATCCAACAGGGTAAACTATGACTCACACATCCGCCCCTAGTAGCCATTGGGGTTAATACAGTAGCTTCCATTGTGTTGTTTCAGTATGTGAAATTGCAAGCAACAAATGGCGCACGTGGCTAAGTTTAATCGTAATGACTCCACGTCTAATCTCTTATGTCAGTGTGGTGCCTTTAGCCAACAGCGCACCAAACATTGAAACTTACAGCTTTATTGCTTGTCTCTTCGCAGTGTTTAATATCATAATGCTAAGGTAATGGTTTTGCTACTTAACCTGACGGGTGCGCCTCATTTGTACGAAAATTAAATGAACTAATTTCAAAACAAACACCGTTCATTTAATATAATTTTTATTTGGACCAATTTCACTTCCTGTAATTTAACTTTATACAAGTAATTCTTGTTTGATATAACATCCACATTTTATGAAAAAAAATTATAGCTCACATTATTTAACAATCATTTTATATTGTCCCGTTTAACCCGACTCGCCATGGTACTTGTCTATACGATACTAGGGGTCGTATTCCAGAACTCTACGCAATACTCATGTCAGGATTTGAGTATTGCAGTGAGCACTGAAAATCATACTCAAGTCTTAGGGTTTTTACCATTATGGTCGTATTTCCAGTACTTGAAATCATACTCAAGTCTGCTCAAATCCTGACTTGAGCATTGCGTAGAGTTCTAGAATACGACTCTTAGATTCTAATTTAAAAGTCGAAGGTGCTAGGGGAGAGTTGTTGTTCTTAATAATATAGTTTACAATGCTGAATTTTCATTTCACAAAATTATCATTGTGACACAGAATTCCTTGACCTATGGGTCAAATCTAGGTTGCGGCTCCCATTCAGTAGGTTAGGCTGCACGAGTCGAGCGAGCGTGCTGCGGCAGTGCAGCAGCCGGCGAGTGCTAGAAACGAATTTGTTTGCGTTTCAAGATGTTTTCAGACCAAATTATAATATTATTATCCATATTAGTATTATGGATATCGTTTTTCAGAAATAATCCGATTTGTAGAAAAAATGGAATTTAGATAAAATGACGTAATGTTAACTGTGGTTTATAACTTATGATCGTTATTAAAAATGAGAGTTAGTTTAAGTGATCATTATAAAAATTAAATTATAGAATGGAAGTTTATGTTAAAAGTTCGTTATATGAAGTGAATTACTATATTAAATGAGTTTATAGGAAGTAAAATTATGCCAATTGAGCATTATGTGAATAATATTTATATGATACATTACACACCCCCTTATATTTGTGTTTTCCTTTCGTTAAATGTGAATTGTGTGTGCCCTGTACAATAAATTATTAAATAAACCAATTCTATGTAAATTGGAACCAATTATTGCAGTACCTGTCTAATTTGGTGTAATTTTTTTACTTTTTGTTGGAAAAGTATTAAAGTTAGATATAGGTACACGACATATGCTTGACATGTTGCAGATGGCTTCCAGAATCTCCTCAATGGTTACTATTCAACAGGAAAATACAGGATGCTGAAACTTTGCTCTACTTTGCTGCGCTAAAGAATGGCATAAAATTCAATACGGATTTCAAAATAAGACCAGTCAATTACAGAGTACGTCTGTAAGTCTTTAAAAATTCCATTACAAGTTTAAGTAGTTGTCTGCCTTTCAAAAACAACTTCTTTTGCATTTTTTCGATTAATTCTGCCATCCTTATCATAACTTGCGCACTTATTTCTGTATAAAAAAAACTAAAAATCGACATTTTTAGCCAAATTAATTTATTAACATATCTGGGATCAGTGAAACGAGATCTACAACCCCCATATAGTAGTTTTTTTTACATCTTATTTAGTTAGTAAAATCAGCGTTATGGACGTTTTTTAGATAACAATAAATGCCAATATCTCGAAAATTACCGAATTGCAAATGGGTTAGTATTTATAACAAGGTGGGCAGAATTCATCGTCTGTTACAATTATTTGCGCAAATAATGTTTGTCGTTATTTTTTTCAGACATTTTATTCAGAATACATAATCATTGTATACTTTAATGTGATTACATTGTGTGAATCAGGAGCGTAGCTACCGCCATATCAGGCGCATCAGGGATATGGAGTCCCTGAGCTACAGAGGCACCTACGTATTTATGCATTTATTTTATTAGGAATAAAAAAAATATTAACAATACTGTCCACAGAAACAAACACTTAAATCGTGGTCAGCTATGAAAAAAAAGGCAAGAAACGCATACAAGAAAAGTGTTTATTCGACTAACTGGGTTACTGTCTCAATGCATATCTCTATAATTTACTCGTATAATTTCTTATTCTTTGGAAATACATATTTTGCAAGAATAAGAATTAACCTCAGTGTCGGCTTCGCCGTGATCAGTTGGTGACAGTGTTCCCAACAACTTTTGGTATTGATATGGATTGGCATATTACGTCAATAAGCTACGTAAAACATACCTTAAAGATTGTTAAGTTAGAAACTGAAAAGAATAACCACTACACTGCAAGGTAGCTTAAGTGTAAATAGGGCTTTGATTAATCTCAATTTTCTATTTCAGGCTTATAACTGTTTAGACGAAACGACGACTTGTTTCGGTATTTTGGCAACTTATAATGTCAGAGTACTAGTTGTGTTATCATTAATCTTCTGGTTCCTATATTACATATTGTGGGGAACTCTCTACTTGCACGTGTATAGATATGGGACTGTAAATAAAACATTGATAATAGAATTTATAGTTACCTTTGCATCATTAACATATATAAGCATGTTTCCATGTAAGATGCTATCACTTAAACGATGGTTGATTATTAATATCCTAATGACGGGCGTCTGCACATCCTGCATTACTCTTTTCCAGGAGGTACGCACTGATTATCCACCATAACTTTCTTGGAAATCTGAATTTTTCAGCAGTTAGGACGTATAGATTGATACAGTAGTAAAAGTAGTTGTTTCCTTTTAAATTTATCAATACTTATTGACATGCAATGGCACTTAACGCCTGTAGTTTTATTAACATCAAAATTGTTTGCAGCAAATTTTATTTAATATACCATCAGCAGTTGCGTTATCATCAGGCGTTACTGTCCACGCAATTTTACTACACATGATGCCACGATGCTATGGCATTAATGTACGAGCCACATTGTTTGGTTTCTGCCATGCTACAGGACAGATTGGAGCCATCATCAGCTACATGTTTCATATATACACCCCAATAGATGCAATGTCACTTGCTATTATGGTTTTTTTAATCACCTTGTGCCTCGTTGCATTGTGCATTATGTTCCCTGATATAGATGACAGAGAATTACCGGACGTATTAGAAGATATGGACTATTTCTCTGAGTAAGGATAATTAATTTATTACATTATGTACGTATAAGAATAGAATTAAGTGGTACCTATTACCTTACACGTAGTATACTCATAGTAACTGCAATGTCTAATTATAAAACGAAGTATTTCTCACTACTCATTTTACTTAAAATATTATTTCCTTGCTCTTGATCTACAAGGATGATTTGCTAAAGCAAAGAAGTTATTCATTCTACAAAAGAAACCCTTTCTCAGTTTGTATAAACTTTTTTATAGTATTGTAGTACTTTATGAGACTGTTATATAATAAAAAGCATTAAAATACGAGTGTGGGTTTATGAAATTTATAAAAATAATAAATATATAATTTATAAAATAATTCATAAAAACATCACACGAGTGTTTTAATGCCTAAGTATGTGCAGTTACATACACTGCTTTATATATATACACATATTGTAAGCTCTCTATGATTTGTTCAGGAACCGCATGTTGAAAACTTTTCTCACGCATGTCACCGTAGTTTTTATTTCATTCATACACAAACTAGAGTAGGCCCCAACCAACATATCGTTCAAAAATTGCGGGTACTTTGAAAGAATAAGTCCCCTTAAAAACTCGGTATATATCGAGTTCTTAGGTTTTCGTGATCGTTACATATAGGAAATGAAACTATTTTTCCGGATTTAAATCGCGTATATTTCTTTTTTCAAACTAACCAACGTTTTGGTCCCTTTATATGTGTTAATGCTCGGTATAATTTAATTTATTTAACTTACTTACAGTTCTAATTTTACTTAAATGTATTAGTATATACCAGTGAGTGTTGGCTACAACAAATTTTCAATTGCACATTCATCAATATCACTCTAATCACAACACCGGGTCTATTACTTCACTTCATGTCACCTGCAGGTCTTGGAAAACTAGTTTGCAGGTCATGGAGGACTTTGAAAAAGCACTTCACCAGCACTCTCTTTCGTCGTTTCCTGGAACCCAGTTACAAACAGTGAAGGCCTTATCTGCAGACTACCAGCAGTTTAAAACTATACTGTAACGTTGTCGTTGCGCTAATTTACAAGATTAACAATAAATCTACTTATTTATAATAATATCCTATTTACATTAATAATCTATTTACAATTATTATCTATTTTCAAATAAAACTTACTGAATGCTTAATCTCCTTATAAACAACTAAAAATCATCAAAGTAAACTGGAAACAGATTGTTTGCATTAGTATTTTTATCAGGCGTTTTTGTGTTTGAGAATAACTTACGTCACGAAATTGACCGCTGGAGGAGTGCAAGGTCGGCGCTCGGTCATTTTGTTCTGTTGGCGGGTCCAAGTGATATATCTTAAAATAATTATAAAATTACAAACAGTGATCAGTGCCAATTAATAATAAATTGGAAACCAATTTAAAGAAGAAATAGTAATTGTAATTTAATTAGTGAACAGTGTAAAATTCCCAAATCGGGTGAGGGATGCAATTTAATTTGTAGAATTAGATTAATGCAATTATTTTAATTATCACGCAGTGTTTAAGGCTAGTACTGTATTAACGTTAATTATTATCTGGTTATCAATGTAATCTTTGTAGCTACAAACATGTACTAATGTTAAATTTTTCCATTGTGGCTGGCTTACCTTCATGCTAAACTTAAAATAATTGATTGTCTTTTACATTCGATAATAAGCTGTTAATTGCATGCTATTTACTTGTTCAATATAGTAAACATTTAGTTACCACCTAAATTCAATCCAGTATTCGTTGCTTTGTACCGTTACATGTAATTTTCATTTTCATTTTATTCTAAATTATTCACCATATAATTAAGTTGATTTTGCATGAAGCAACAACATCATTGATCGCTATTGCATGCTTTGGGAGCCACTCCGATTAGCAGTGCGTCCGTCTCCAATTTTTCCGGATATTGCAGCCAGTAATCATAATTTGGTCTTTTTTTGAATTACCCAATTCCGGATATTTCAGGGTTCTTCGCCCAGGCTTTCTGCCTACAACGGCGTGACCTACCTGCCCGCTACTAACGCGCTCACCGTCTGAAAACCGGACTAACTAACTGGTCACGATTCCTTATTTACTGCGAGCTACTGAACGGCAGGGAAGTGATTTTCCAATCCGGGATAGTATAAATGGAACTCGTGTAGTAACGCGAACTCACTACCCTGAGCTAGTGTTTAAATTATTATCTAAGTCGTTATTATTAGTCCTGTAATAGACACTTGTAAATTTTCTAGTTTTTTTTTATTTTCTTGTCCTACCTAGCTTCTATCAAAGTAAACCATAAATACTCGTAAATGTACTACTAACTAAAACACTTTTCAACTATTGTGTTGAATACGGTTAAAACTCTAAAAATGGAGTTGGATTTACTCAACACAAGTCTGGACCGCCTCGAAACTCATTCTAGGCGTAAGATTTTACTTCTCCTTGGCTTGCCAGAAGGCTCTAAGGAGAATGTTGCTGCTGGGGTCCGCTAGGTGTTGAGCAGTACGATGAAGTTGATAAAAAAATTCGACCAGATTGCATTGAACTGTCACCGACTTGGGACTGCCAAATGAGATCGAACTCATCCTGTGTTAGTTCGCTTTCCTACTTATAAGAGTAGATCAGACGTATCGAAGGCCAAGAAAGTGTTAAAAGGATCGGGAATTTCCAAGTCGGAGTTTCTAACAAAGTCAAGGCAGAACATATTTGCGGCAGCCCGTAAGCATTTCGGCATTAAAAACTATTGGTCTTCTGACGGCACCATAGTTGTAATGTTACCGGACAAAACCAAAAGCAAGATTATGGAGTTGGGCGAATTGCAAAAGCTCCAGACCCCTTTCCCAACCACGACAGGCAGCGAAGTAATCTTGACCAAAATGATTACTGTGGTTATGTTGTTATTTTAAATATTGTTTCCGCTAACGCTAACATTTAACACTATTTGTGAGGTACAGTCAAGAACACGTCAAGCTTGGTACTTTAGACTTTGGACCGTTCGAAGTGAAACGGCGCAAAAGGGTAACAGAGATAAACAAACTTTTCTTTCACACGCGTCACACTTTTTGTACTGAACTACGCGTTACTTGTTTGTGTCGTATGGTGACTGCAAATCAATAAAGTGTGCGTGGTCGAGTAGTACGTAATCTAGTCGAGTAGAACTGGTTCTATAGTTTTCGCATAACTAAACGAAAAGTGATAAAAATATAATTTGAGCTAACGTGCTCGTAGTTTATAACACTTAAAAACTACGTAAATATGATAATCTGAGTTTTGTAAATTGTTTCTAATTTTTAATACTTGTCATGTTCTTAATTAACTATTTTTCCTTAGAATAATAACGCATAGAAACCTAGCCCGCGCACGCTAAGTGAGGCAAGTTAGAGGCTTCCCCAAGGGCCTACACGAGCGGGCGGGCTGTCAGTGCTCAAGGTCAAATTGCACCGCGAACAGCTCAAATATTTTTGCTAAAAATGACGAAATGTGCGGTAAATGGGTGTAAAAATAGAACAGGCAAACATAAAATAGACACATATTCCAAACATCATATTCCACAAGGAAGTAACGCGTTTCAACTTGTATTTTTATATAAATATTCACTAAAACCGAAAATTAATTTCGTTGCAACAAGACACGAAAATGTTGCAAAGTAACGGATTTCTTTCTCCCAATTTTGCTATTCTGTTTCAAAATAATTATATTACGCAATTTTTTGAGAATACGCAATATCGCGACGGCTGCAGATTTTTTTTTATTCTAATGTAAGTGTGCATTTGACTTCCGTTTCTGCAAGTTAAATGCGTACAAATGTTGTTTACAAACAGCAACCCCTAGAGTTTCTTGCTCATACTTCTCGGGGGCCTGCCTTACGAATGAGTGGTAGAGTTTAACCAATGTGACGATTTCTAGTGTAATAATGCTTACCTATGAAATAAAGATTATTTTGATTTTGATTCTGGGTATCGTTTACGGGGTGCTCATTACGAATATAGTACTTATTTCTAAATCCAAGATGGCGGACACAATTTAAAAAAATGCAATATGGGTATCCTTTTCGAGGTATTTGGGGATGCTCATGATTATAGCACTCATTTCTAAATTCAAGATGGCGGGCGCGATTTTTCGAATAATGGCAAGTTGGGAATAATTTTCGAGATATTTGGGGGTGCTCATTGCGAATCTAAGACAGCCACGACAGTTCAAACAAAAGCAATATTCGTAATGAGCACCCCCAAATACCTCGAAAACGATACCCAACTTGCCATTATTTGAAAAATCGTGCCCGCCATCTTGGATTTACAAATAGTGCCATATTCACATTGAGCATTCCCAAATACCTCGAAAATGATACCCATATAGCATTTTTTGGAAAAGTCGTGCCCGCCATCTTGGATTTAGAAATGAGTGCCATATTTGTAATGAGCACCCCCAAATACCTCGAAAATGATACCCATATTGCATTTATTTGAAAACTCGTGTCCGCCATCTTGGATTTAGAAATAAATGCTGTATTTGTAATGAGCACCCCCAAATACATTGAAAACGATACCCAACTTGCAATTATTCGAAAAATCGTGCCCACCATCTTGGATTTAGAAATGAGTGCCATATTCCTAATGAGCACCTCGAATACCTCGAAAATGACTCCCATATTGCATTTATTTGAAAAGTCGTGTCCGTCATCGTGTATTCAGATATAAATGCCATTTCCATAAGGATTACCAAAAATAAATTTTTGAAAATTCTTGTCACTTGACATGACAAGGATTGTCGACAGTAACGACAGTAATCGACAGTAACGATCGACAAAACCGAGCATATCTGTAGGCACCTTTAACTTGATGATGAGTTAAGCAAGATACAATTTTCCCACTTTTGAGGGAAATGTTATTCCATGGTATCTTTATTTGTATATTTGTGTGCGTGCCGACGAGCGTAGATACAAGTTGCTTACGCCTACATGAATTTGGTTTTTGCCTCACTTGTGACAGTTCGTTTGATATGAAACTATCATTCTAT